TAGTTGAAATGGCGTACTTTATGCAGCGTGAGGACGCAGCTGATGGGCACTCGCGAGACTGATGGTTCCAATTAATTCTGCTGTATACGCAATCCTCAGATAATAAAAATGTTTGAATTCACAATGCTAATACTTAAACTTCAGATACTAGAAAATATGTCTTTTGCATGGCACGCTCAACACAGTTTACAACGCACCAAGTATACTTGGTGTTTTAAGTGCAATTTATCTATAATTTGAATTCAAAATAGAGTCTGACAGAAATAAGCAGCGTTAACAGGTCCGGGCGTCTTAATGACGGTATTATATTGTGTATTTCTGAAGACCTTCACTTTCTCCAAGTGCGTTTTCTACCAGCTGGACATTCGTCAGATTTAGTTCAAAAAGGAAACCTAAAATTCCCATCCTCGGCAAACCACAACTGTGGATTCCAAACTTCTGCGGAGCTTGACAAATTTTGTGTGAGCAAATTTAGGCTGTGCTGCAGAGGGACGACTGTGAGCGACATCCGACTGTCCTGCACCCGCAATAGGGCATGTTTGACCATGTTTACTTCTTAACGATGTCTGGAAATACTCATTGTTAATTAGTTTTTCCTTTTTTTGTGATTGTAGTTGGTGACAAGGTTCCTGCCGATGTCCGCATCACCCATATCTACAGTACTTCCATGCGTGTCGATCAGTCTATTCTGACCGGTGAATCCGTCTCCGTCTCCAAGATGACTGAGGAGGTGCCAGACCCCAGAGCGGTGAACCAGGACAAAAAGAACATCCTCTTCAGCGGCACGAATATCGCCTCAGGGAAATGCAGAGGCGTGGTCATCGGTACGGGCCTCAGCACCGAAATCGGCAAAATTCGAAACCAGATGATGAATACGGAACAGGACAGGACCCCGTTGCAGCAGAAACTGGACGAATTCGGTCAGCAACTCTCCAAAGTTAGTTATATTCAGCGGCGAAGGGACTTTTTTGATGGGAGAACCTTTCCCTGTTTGGCGTGATATTAGTATGCACTCTTAGTAACATTACGAATGATTTGCAGGATGCTACTTTTTAGGCAAAGACATTTTTCAGGAGAGTTACTTTAATCCAGCAACGTTCTGTAAAGGTCTAGCCTTTTGGTGATCTGTTTCGTTATGAATATATTTCAACTAAGATTTCTTGTTTATAAGAATAAACATTCTCGGGGCCGATAAACGCTGTTATTACTTTCAAATATTGTCAGGAAACCCACTCTGAGCCGGCATCATTTCACTTTTTAACGTACACCAATATAAAATACGAATAAGAACCCAATGACACATGTTTGCGACCATATCGGATGAATTACCAACATATTGGACTAAGAAACAGTGAATCTTTTTATACTGACAGACACTGGTCAGCAACACAGTCTTCAGTCCTGTGGTGATTTGAGCATAAGATAGTAGAACTGGCAAAAATACTAGATGTATTAGCTCATGAAATTATACAAGAAGCCCTAAAAGGTATTTTCGATTAGAAACAAATACGTCTCGGGAAGTATAATCACAGTGCATTTCAGTCACCTCAGGTTATGCATTCCTGAACGGGCTTCTTTAGGACATCCTGCAAAATCCACGGTCTGATGTGAACTCTCCCACTGATTTTCACAACCCTTGGCACTTAGAACATATAGTACAGGGAATATGCATAAACACTTCTCCATTTTACTAATTTGCCGGTAAATCACCTCTTTCATAATAATGCATTCTAGACAAAGGGGTAATTTTCACTTTTAAAAGGTTTATAATTATGAGATCTTTTATGGTCGTGAACTATCTATTCATACATCATCGTAACTATCTATTCAGAAGTCTTTATTTTTAACTTAATTACATGGTCCACATTTTTTGTAAATTTCTATAAACCCTACAAGAAATCCTACTAACTTCTAGAACTGTATGAATATCTTTACACTGAAAGTATGTAGCCTGTAGTTTAAAAACTTCGAAACCGATTTAAACATAAAACGTTTCCTTCTCGTATAATTTTAAAGAAGACGTAAGTTTCGACCAAATGAGCAGAAAGAAAGAATATTTTCATGCGTGATTTATGTACAGTAGCCGCTGAATACCATGCAACGCTAATTATGAAATTTGCCTGGATATTTTGGCATATATTTGAAAACACTATTATGATTCATTCAGTTTATTGACTTCTGCAAAAGCCTTTTACTTAGTTAAATCG